TCTTTTACCTGACCGGGTAAATCGAAAACCTGATCGGGTATGATGTGACAAATGGAGATTCTGGGCAATTACTCAGAAAACCCAATCGGGTATTTCAAAAACCCGGTCGGGTAAATGACCCTGCAACCTCCAAACACCTACAAATACACCCCTTTTTCTTCCCATTTGAATTACCAATTCACATATACCTCTTAGCTCAGTTTAGACAAGTTTTCTCTTTATATTTTCATCATGTTTAGTCTCCAAATGAGGAGCTAAACTCTTCCATCCATCTTGGTTTTGCTACTTTGAAGCTTAATGAATGGTAAGTTGTGAGGTATTTTCTTTAATCTTCTTCCTTGAATATTATTTGAATCTATCTCTATATTAATGTTGGGGAGTGTTGCTAAGATGACAATTAGTTAACATCTCAACATTAGTTATAAACTTATAGTGGAATATATTTTCTTTAATCTTCTTCCTTGAATATTAATTAATTCATATTCCTCTTTCATATTAATATTTTGAGCATTACTTAAAGGATCAACTAGTTTTTTTCATATATTAATTATTACTAGAATCGATCGACGAATACGCTTGTTAATCGTTCGGTCTTTTCACGCAAGTAAAATTGGGTTATTAATGCATGCGTCTCGTGGTTAATAACCTAAGGGAAATTAATTATAGTGATTAAACCGATAAACCGCTTGTGTTGAGGTTATCAATCTAAATCGTTTTCATTTTGATTTTATTGCTACTATCGGGTTAATATACGGCGTGTGTTCTATATTAACTCAGTAGTAAGTTTTATTAATGAATGAGTCTCGTTATTAATAACTACCCTCGATGAATTGGATATACTCCTCGATTGAGTATTCGAGAGGAAGACAGTTAAAGATATAACCGGGATCGACAAGCATTTCATTAAGTGGATAAAAGCAAAACCAAGTCTTAATCTCATTTGAATTAAACTACTTAAGTCGTTCACCTTGGTGTTTAAATACATTAAAGTTCATCAAACAAACTTCAAACCCCCCTTGTTACTATTTAATTAAAAAAAGAAGTATTCCTTTCTCTGTGGATATGAACCTTACTTCGTTATACTACGTATATTCGTTGTATTGATATTTATATTGAGTGCACACCACAACAAAGTGCTAGTCAAATTTGGCTCCGTTGTCAGGGAAAGACAATAATTTTTCTTTTTATTTTTATTTCAAGAAAAATAAAAATATATATATAAATAAACAAATTATAAAGAGTCCTAATTTTTTCTATTACTGAGCTTTGTAGTATATGGTTAAATATCGTTCACTGAACGAAATCACCTATCAAGCAAACCCAGAAATAGAGCGATCTTTCGAGCGGTGGAAAATTAAATTCTCAAGTACCGACTTGGAGGAATCATCTACCAAAGATTCATCCAACGCTAGCTCTAACTCTAGCGAATCCGGAGAACCATCAACTATGGCTCTCGAGACAAGAACTTTGAAGGAGCTCACAGCTCCAAACTTGAATCAACAACCATTGTGTATTACCTTTCCTACTCTTGATGAAGGTAATACATTTGAACTAAAATCCGGGCTCATCCATCTACTACCATCTTTCCACGGTCTGAGAGGTGAAGATCCGAACAAACACTTGTCGGAATTTCATATTGTGTGCACAAGCATGTGCCCAAACGGTGTCACAGAGGAACAAATTAAATTGAGGGCTTTTCCATTCTCCCTCAAGGACACCGCAAAGGACTGACTTTTCTATCTTCCTTCGGGAAGCATCAACATATGGGCACAAATGAAGAAGTGCTTCCTCGAAAGGTATTATCCTGCTTCTATCTCTTCAAGTCTCAAGAAACAAATAAGAAACATTGAGAAAAAGGAGATGAATCCTTGTATGAATTTTGGGAAAGATTCAAGAAGCTATGTGCTAGCTGCCCCTATCATGGATACACCGAACAAAACCTCATCTTATACTTTTATGATGGTCTTGTTGATGATGATAGAAGAATGGTGAATGCCGCTTGTGGAGGTGGCATTGGTAACAAAACTCCTTCCCAAGCAACAAGCTTAATCTCAGAGTTGGTCGAGAACTCACGGCAATTCAGCCGCAAATCCTCAACCCAAAGAGTTCTTGCTGCGGAAACAAGCACAACCGACCTAGAAAGTCATGTTGTCGGCTTGACTTCTTTAGTGAAATAACTCCTTCTAAAGCCAAAAACTAAGGAGGTCAAAGCTTGCGACATTTGCACATCAACCGGACACCCCACTGATTCATGTTCATCACTCCAAGAAGAGCAAGTCAATGCCTTGGGTTTCCAAGGACATCAACAAAGGAGGTATGATCCCTTTTCTAATTCTTACAATCCTGGATTGTGGGATCACCCAAATTTGAGATATGGGAACCTTCAACAAACCAACCCATCTTCTCAATAACCATCTCAATCTAGTATGTCAACTGATGACATGATCCGAAATTTGACCTCAAACATGGTTACCATGAAACAAAACATGGGACAATTTCAACAAACCGTGATACAATTCCAACATGAGAGAAAGTCAAGCATTTAAAATTTGGAAACTCAAGTTAGCCAATTTCAAATGTCGTGAGCCGACTTGACGAAGGACTCAGGTAAACTCTCATCTCAAACGGAGCAAAACCCGAGACAACATGTGAATGCAATCATGTTGAGAAGTGGAACGGTATTGAAGAAGGAAGATCAAAAGATTGAGGAAGTTGATCCCGAAGAAGAAGCTCACTTAGAGGAGGGAACCACAAAGGCAAAACTCCCTCCAACTTCATCATATGAACTAGTAGCCCCATTTCCCGAGACACTAAGGGAGACAAGAAAACCGGAGAAAGATGCTAACATCTATGAGACTTTTTCCAAATGCGAGGTAAACATTCCGCTCCTTAAATTAATGAAAAGTGTACCCCGTTTTGCTAAATTCTTAAAAGAATTATGCAAAATGTGGTTGGTTGTAAGTGGATTTATAAGACGAAATATTGTTCTAATGGATCTGTTGAGCGACATAAAGCTCGTTTAGTTGCTCAAGGTTTTAAATAACAGGCTGGTGTTGACTTTGCTGAAACTTTTAGCCCTGTTGTTAAGCCTACCACTGTTCGTCTTGTGTTATCTGTTGCCATTTCTTTGGGTTGGTCTGTTCGTCAGTTAGATGTGAAAAATGCATTTTTGCATGGTGTTTTAACTAAGGAGGTTTACACGTGTCAACCTCAGGGTTTTGTTCATCCTTCTTATCCTAATCATGTGTGTCGCCTTCATAAGGCTCTTTATGGTTTGAAACAAGCTCCACGGGCTTGGTTTCATCGATTCAGTGGTTTTTTGTTGAGTCGTGGTTTTTCATAGGGCAGGTCTGATTTATCCATGTTTATTTATCGTACTAATTCTCAGGTGGTGTATATTCTTCTATATGTGGATGATATTCTTATTACAGGCTCTTCTGCTTCATTTGTTTCCTCTATCATAAATACTTTATCACATCAGTTTGCAATGAAGGATTTAGGGGATATCCATTACTTCTTGGGTGTTCAGGCTAAACGGACATGTACAGGTTTATTTTTATCTCAGGCAAAATATATATCTGATCTTCTACGTCGTTTTCATCTTCATATTGTCGAACCTGTTCGTACCCCTCTACCTTCACGCACCACACTCTCTCTCACAGATGGGGAACTGTTATCTGATGTTACTGAGTATCGCAGTATGGTAGGTGCTCTTCAGTATTTAACTATTACTAGACCTGATATTACTTATGTTGTACACCTTGTGTCTCAGTTTATGCATGCTCCACGTGCTACTCACCTTTTCGCAGTTAAGAGAATTTACAGGTATCTGCAGGGTACCAGCACTCATGGCTTATGGTTACGAGCAGATAAAAATATTTCAGTAGTTACCGCTTATTCTGACGCAGATTGGGAAGGTTGTCTCGACAGTTCACGATCGACTATAGGTTATGCGGTTTTTCTGGGCTCCAATTTAATTTCATGGCGCTCCAAGAAACAACCGACGGTGTCCAAGTCCTCTATTGAGGCCGAATACAGGGCCATTGCATACACTGTTCAGGACACACTTTTCATCCGATCTCTTCTGGCAGACATAGGTATCTTTATCTCGACTCGGTGCAACTTCTCTGTGATAATGTCTCCGCGTCATATCTAGCAGTTAATCCCATTCAACATGATCGGAGTAAGCACATTAAAATTGATTACCATTTTGTTCGTGAGCGAGTAGCGCATGAAGATCTTGTGGTGAAGCACATTCCTACACAGTTGCAGTTAGCTGATATCTTCTCCAAAAATTTATCTAGTCAGCGTTTTGAGTTTTTACGTTCCAATTTGCACGTGATTTCTCCTGCACAAATTGAGGGGGTGTAATAATGTACTACCTCCGTCCCATTTATATTGGGACGGAAGAAGGTGGCACGGTTATTAAGAAAAGTGAGTTTGTGTGGTTGATATTAATTGATAAAGTAAGAATAAAGTAAGAATGATTTAGAGTCACACAAACTTTGCCAAATATGGTATGTGACAATTTAAGTGGGACTTCCCGAAAAGGTAAAATGGGACAATATAAATGGGACGGAGGGAGTAATATTTAGGGATTACTTTGTAATTCTCTATAACTCTGTTTTTATTATAAATACAAGGCCAAGACACCCAAGACTCCAAAAGGGTAAGCCATTATTCCTAAAATTATACGAAGTATTTTGGTATATATTTGACATATTCCCATCAATTTGGATAGTCGTATTACAACTGAACAATCAATCGGATTGTACTTATCACCATGCCAACTACCAAGAATCAAGTGGTGTTAGTTTCCGGCGTTGTTCGTCATACGATTCAGTCTGTCTTCCATGCTCCTCCTCAATATATAATTTTTTTTATGACAAGAAACTCCAAATAATGTGTGGTTCCACAAACTTCTGTCGTTCTTCAGGGATTCAAGTTTCTGTTACCAAGTCCACGTAATGATGTAATTTATTCGTATACAACAGTTGATGCAGCTACACAGTTGATGTCGTTTTTTTTTGGGATGAAATGTAAGTATATATTAAAAAGTCATCCAAAAGTAACAAAATACATGTGTCAAAAATAACTATCTAAGCTAGTAAACTAACCTAAGATAGCAACTACCATTCACACACCCCCTCACCCCCACCTCACAGCAAAGGTGAGGGAGAGGAATGTAGACAGTCCAGCAAAATAGATCACAACTAACACGGGACAAGCCCCAACTTAGTAATCAAATACAGTCAAAGTACATCAAAATAAAGTCCAAAAGAACAGTCCACAATCGAGCCATCAAAGGCCCATCCTCGGTAAACTGAGGCAGCCAAGAATCCAGACCAAACCCGATAGGGCCCAATCACCTCTCCACGCGACAGCAAACTCCCAACAAGTGCAAAGAAGCATGAAGGCCCGTCGCCCATATGCATATTGTCATCCGCGTCAAAAACAACCTAACAAGGCCCAGCGTCCAGTCCAAAATATTGCTAGGGTTTCCAAGTGGCAGCCCAAACCAAAGCCTAGCACATCGCTATGTTGGAGTGCCGCATCGACTGGGCGGGAAACCAAAAAAGTCAAACTTCGAAAAATGCCACGCCAGGCGGAAAGGACAGGGTGGCCAATTAGCTACAGGACAACGACGCGTCATCAGTGCCTCCGAGCAGCTCCCTTCATCTTCTCCGGCGTACCCCCAGCCAGCCAAACCAGCAAACCAAAATCCAAGCCATCATACGCAGATGACAGTAAACCCAACCCTCACAACCCTCCACACCCCCCAGCGGGTTCCGGCATCACCCCAACGGCAAAAGGCATGACGGCGGTGAAGGGAAAACCAAGCCGGAGAAGTAACCGGTCGCCTACGATCAAATCTGTCACCAAGAACCACCATCTGACACAATTCTTACCCGTTCACAATTTGTTCACCAAGCAGCAACCCACCATCTCAAAACCGCTCCCAAGGCTACTAATCATTGTTATCGTCAAGGACATATTTTCCGGTGAGTTCAAGCAAGCAGAGACCAAGGACTTTCACACTAACCCAGAGTAACCCAAGGGGTTTCCGGTCGTCAGAAGACCCTTTACTGTAATCTTAACCAGTCAAAACAACCACCAAAACCCCACCCTCCGTCACTCCCAAGAATCAAATCTCACATAACAAAAGTCCGGCGACGTGAGGTGGCCGACCTGGTAACTGAACTGCCTACAATCAAAACCACCAAGCCTAGACCTACCATCAAGACCACCACTCCAAACGAACCTAACCCGTTCACCATCCTACCATCCCCCCCAAATCAAACATGAAGCCATGGTTACTAACCGTTATTGAGCCGGAGAGGTGTTTTCCGGTGATCTTTGACTTCCGGCGACCGAGGACTTAGCCTAATCTTCACCCCCATGTCAACTTCCACTCTGGATCACATCCGTAGGCTTCGAACCCCGACCTTCTCGCACCAAACCCCCCTTTCCGACCCGTTCACCTCCGTTACACACCCCTCCAAAAGTTAGTATCCGGCGTTACTAACTGTCGGAGGTGGTGATTTAGCACAGTCCGGCGAGATCTTCAGCCATTAGACAGGTTCCAGTAACACCGAGCTCCATAAAACCAAGGACCACCAGTAATCCAAGTACATATTCCGGCAATACTGTCCAGTATAAGCACCAGCAAACAGCTCACTACGTAGTTCCAAGATCAGTCCCAAAACAACCACCAAAGTGGTGTATAATTTCCAAATTGTAGCTAGAACCCACCGGAGCCAGAAGGCTCCGGCGGCGGCGGCCACCGTGAGAGGTGGTGCTGACTTGAGGAGACCGTGAGGGGAAGAATAGCCACGAATGGCTAGAGAGAGACTCTCTCAACTTCTCCCTCTTTAGTGGGCCGCTATTACACAGTTGATGTCGTGAGCTTGCTAATAGTAGGCTTGTTTATCAATCGACGGAGAAGGTTATCATGAGAATATAAAGTTTGAAATTGGTCGGCGGGTTTAATTAGAAGCTGTTCTGTTCGTCTTAATCTTATTACTTATTGCTTATTCTTATTTTATTCAGATCTGATCAGATCAGAAAAATTCAGATCTGATCAGATCAGAAAGATTCAGATCAGATCAGAATCATTCAAATCAGATCAGAAAGATTCAGATCAGATCAGAAACATTCAGATCAGATCAGGAACATTCAGATCAGATCAGGAACATTCAGGACATAATTTATCCTTTTTATTATAATAATAATTATAATAATATTTATAATAATTATAATAATTATAATAATATAATAATTATAATAATTATAATAATTATAATTATTATTATTCCTGTTGTTGTTATTGTAATTATTATAATTAATATTATTATTGATATTATTATTAGTATCATTATTATTCTTATTATTATTATTTTTGTTATTATTATTGTTGTTGTTGTTGTTATTATTATTATTATTATTATTATTATTATTATTATTATTATCATTATTATCATTATTATCATCATCATCATCATCATTATTATTATTATTATTATTATTATTATTATTATTACTATGATTACTAAGATTAATATTATGATATTTATTATTATCATGATTATTATTATTCTTACTACTAATATGGTTGTTGTTGTTATTGTTATTAGTTTTGTTTTCGTTATTATCATATTATACGGAGTAATTACAATTAAAATTATAGAAATAAATATTATAATTATAATTATAATTTTTATAATTTTGATTATAATTATAACTATATTTAAATTATATATGTGTAATTACATTTATAATTATAGTAATTATAATTGTAATTATAATTTTAGAAATATTCAAATCAGATTAGATCAGAAAGATTCAGATCAAATCAGAAACATTCAGATCAGATCAGGAACATTCAGATCAGATCAGGAACATTCAGATCAGATCAGGAACATTCAGATCATATCAGATCAGAAAGATTCAGATCAGTTCAGATCAGATCAGAAAAATTCAGATCGGATCAGAACTTAAAAAATTCAGATCAGAAACATTCAAATCAGGTGAAGAGAACAGCTTCTTAATATCGACTGAATTTTAGAAATTTCAGCCCTTTTTTAGTTGAATGGGCAAGCCAAACATAGCCTTGGTGGACTGAGCTCGGCTCGTAAGGGCCAAGAAGGAATAGATTATTAAAGTAAGCACGGTCAAATTCCCGAAGGGAATTTCTTTTAATTTAGGTTGAGTTGGGCATAATTAAAGTGGGTTCCTAATATATAACATTTGATTATTTAGAAGATAAATTAAGGATGTTTTCATTTAACATTTGATTATTTAGAAGATAATATTAAGGATGTTTTTATTTGAATTGTTTTCATTTTCAGATGGAACCAGATGAGACCAGCATAGATTAGATTAGATCAAACTAAGGTGATATTCTGTTCGTCTTATTCTTATTACTTATTGCTTATTCTTATTTTATTCAGATCAGATCAGAAAAATTCAGATCAGATCAGATCAGATCAGAAAGATTCAGACAAGATCAGAAAGATTCAGATCAGAGCAGATCAGATCAGAAAGATTTAGACCAGATCAGAAAGATTCAGATCAGATCAGATCAGATCAGAAAGATTCAGACTAGATCAGAAAGATTCAGAACAGATCGGATCGGATCAGATCAGAAAGATTCAGACCAGATCAGAAAGATTCAGATCAGATCATATCAGAAAGATTCAGACCAGATCAGAAAGATTCAGATCAGATCAGATCAGATCAGAAAGATTCAGATCGGTTCAGAAGCATTCAGATCAGATCAGATCAAAAAATTTCAAACATGATTTATCACTTTTATTATTATATAATTATAATAACAATAATTATTATTATTATTATTATTATTATTATTATTATTATTATTATTATTATTATTATTATTATTATTATTATTATTAATAATAATAATAATAATAATAATAATAATAATAATAATAATAATAATAATAATAATAATAATAATAATAATAATAATAATAATAATAATAATAATAATAATAATAATAATAATAATAATAATAATAATAATAATAATAATAATAATAATAATAATAATAATAATAATAATAATAATAATAATAATAATAATAATAATAATAATAATAATAATAATAATAATAATAATAATAAAAATAATAATAATAATAATAATATAATAATAATGATGATGATGATGATGATGATGATGATGATGATGATGATGATGATGATGATGATGATGATGATGATGATGATGATGATGATGATGATGATGATGATGATGATGATGATGATGATGATGATGATATTTTTTTTTAGAGTAAAAACCCTACTAAGCATTTATCACAATGGTTACACAAGCCATGCCAACTTGCCAGGTTCTTCACTACTTCACTACATGGTACCTCCTGGAATAAAAACTCTACTAAGCATTCATCACAGTCGTTACACAAGTCATGCCAAGTTCTTCACTACATGTTACCTCCTGGAATAAAAACCCTACTAAGCATTCAACAACTAGCCAACTTCAAGTTATTTACTACACGTAACACCCAACATATATAATACATGTTCTGGTTGACTGGTTACTCCCGATCTGGCGGAATAACTCTATTCCCAGATGCATCCCTGCAAAATCCCAGCTTCAAGTAATGTTTTGACATGTGGTCAAACACTTGAGCATAAAATGTAACCTCTTTGTTGCTTGACATAGTGTCTTCGGCTTTGAAAGTAATATATGTAGGCTTTATAACATAAAGCTTCACTCTCAAAAGTAGCTATCTTTCAAGCTAAAGAATTAAGGAGACGAAGAACTCAACTCTCATTTTAATGAATATATCTTAGGCTATTAAATAGCCATTACAAAGAGAATAAAGGGGGAGCACGTTCAAACTAACTAACTCCCTACAAATATGCTATGACCCACGTTTTAAGCCATAAACTAATACTGGATGTAAACAATACCTAAAACTTAGCTAACAACATTGACCAAATCGTTTATTGAATAACCTAGGATAATTAGAAAGCAATAATATTTAAACTTCCACGTAAGCTTCCCATGCATACGTCAAGCTTGATCACATTCAACACCTCCCCTTGATCCAAGCTTGCACATTCCAATCCTTTCCATAAAGTAGTAGTGCTTTGCTTGATTCAAGGCCTTGGTAAAAAGGTCTGCATTCTGCCAGTTTGTGCCACAGAACTGCAATGAAATCTTCCCTTCAGCCACAAGTTGCCTTATGAAATGATGTTGGACATCTATATGTTTAGTCCTTGAATGAAATGCAGGATTTCTTGCCATTGCTATTGCTGATTTATTGTCACACCAAATCTCAGGCTTCTCTTCTTGTTTGCAACACAAATCAGACAATAATTTCTTCAGCCATAGTGCTTGTTTTGCTGCAGCTCCTGCAGCCACATACTCTGCCTCTGAGGTTGATAAAGCCACAGTTTCTTGCTTCTTTGAGCTCCATGTAATAGCACCTGACCCAAGATCAAAAACTGACCCGGATGTGCTTTTTCTGTCATCCACACACCCAGCCCAATCACTATCAGTGTACCCTCTTAACTTCAACTCCTTTACACTTGAATATTGGATCCCATACTCAAGTGTTCCTGAAACATACTTCAAAATTCTCTTGGCTGCTCCCAGATGCTGCTTGGTAGGACTATGCATATACCTGGAGACTATACTTACACTAAAAGCAATATCAGGCCTAGAGTGTGTAAGGTAATTCAAACCTCCCACCATACTTCTATAGAACCTCTCATCAGCTTTTTCAGTTCCATCAGCCTTTTGCAACTTCTCACTTGTATTCATTGGTGTTTTGACTGCCTCACAGTTCATCATATGAAATCTCTTTAGCAGATCCATAGCATACTTTCTTTGGCATAAGAAAATACCCTTGCTATTCTGCTTCACCTCAAGCCCAAGGAAGTATTGCAGCCTTCCCAAATCAGTCATTTCAAACTCCTTGGTCATAGCTTTCTTAAAGCTATCTAGCATATCTTGTGAAGAGCTGAAATAGATGATGTCATCAACATATAGGCAAACTATAATAAATGCATCCATACCTTGTTTCTTTACATAGAGTGTGGGTTCATTTTCACTCCTCACAAACCCCCTTTGAATAAAAAAGGAATCTATCTTGCTGTACCAAACCCTGGGGGCTTGTTTAAGCCCATATAGAGCCTTCTTAAGTCTGTAGACCTTTCCTTCTGCATTTTCTTGCACAAACCCTTGAGGCTGCTCTACAAACACCTCCTCGGACAACTCCCCATTTAGAAAAGCTGACTTGACATCAAGTTGGAAGACAGGTAAACACCACTGAGCTGCTAAAGCCAAAACCACTCTAACTGTTTCAAATCTAGCCACAGGTGAGAAGGTTTCCTCATAGTCAATACCTTCTTGCTGTGCATAGCCTTTTACAACCAACCTAGCCTTATGTTTTGAAATGCTTCCATCTGGGTTGTACTTAGTTTTGTACACCCATTTCAGCCCTATTACACTCCTCTCTTTAGGCAGTGTAACAAGCTCCCATGTATCATTCTTCTCTATAGCTTTAATTTCTTCATTCATGGCTTGTTTCCATTCATCCTGAGTCACAGCTTCCTCAAAGTCTGCAGGTTCACTAGCAAGAAGAGCAAGATCACAGGATTCATAAATATCAATGAGGGATCTTACTTTTCTTGGAGGTGAATCACTACTTGAGGTTGAGTGTGATGATGGTGAACTCAGACCACTTGAAGATGCTGATGAACTCTGAGGTGTTGGTGGTGGACTAGGCTGACCTGTTGTCTCAGTTGATTCATGAACTTCTTCCAAACTGATGGTTCTCTGTATGCCCTTACTTTGGTGATCCTGCAGCTTCCAATCCCAGCATGATTCCTCATCAAAGATAACATTTCTCCCAATGATTATCTTGCCAGAATGAGGGTTGTAC